GTGAACCGCAGGCCACCTAGGATGCCCTGACGGGACTGCCTGGCAGAGGTCATGCTGACCTGGTGACTGTCTAGTATGTCAGGGCTTTTTAGTCACACTCCTTGTGTGTAGCTACAGATGGGAAGAAATAATCGTGTGTGTGCAGGTGTGAGCTCTTTCCCTTCTTTGGGGACCAGTCAGATTGGACTTTGTACCTCCAGTGGACTTCCCCTGCTAGATCCACAGACCGCAGTTGTGGTCTGCACGTCACACAGAGACGTTTCCTGTGAGACACCGATGCTGCCGACCCCCAAGGCGCACGGCCTGTGCGTGGTAGATGCAGAGGGTCCCCGAATCCCTCCCCCTCGGTGAGTTAACAACAGGCCTTAAAGACCCGCGGCCCACGCGTCCTCTTTGTAGATGAAGTGCGCACGGGGACCTACAGGCAGCTCTTCCACCCAGAGCAGCTGATCACCGGGAAGGAGGACGCAGCCAATAATTACGCCAGAGGCCATTATACCATCGGCAAGGAGATCGTCGACCTGGTCCTGGACCGGATCCGGAAACTGGTAAGGGGGCGCCGAGAGGGCTTCCTGTGGACGCTGCCCTGGACGGGAAGGTGGCGGGGATGGGGACCGGGAGGTCACTTTGGCCAAACCCCAGGCCGGAATCTTGAGTCCACGTCTTCCTTCACGGGTGGCTTCAGTGCATCCATCGTCCACCCATCTTCACGTCTGCCTTGCTTTGCTTCTGAGTGTCACGCGTGTGCGCTGCGGCCGATTCGAACGCGTAGCGTCCTGCAGAGGAAAAGAGGAGTGACCGTGGCTCGTTGGAGGTCGGCGGTGTGGCTTCTGCAGGCACTGACCCACGGTCTGTGCTTGCTTTCAGGCGGATCTGTGCACGGGGCTGCAGGGCTTCCTCATCTTCCACAGTTTCGGGGGCGGCACCGGCTCTGGCTTCGCGTCTCTGCTCATGGAGCGGCTGTCGGTGGACTACGGCAAGAAGTCCAAGCTGGAATTTGCCATTTACCCAGCCCCCCAGGTGTCCACGGCCGTGGTGGAGCCCTACAACTCCATCCTGACCACCCACACGACCCTGGAGCATTCCGACTGTGCCTTCATGGTGGACAACGAAGCCATCTACGACATATGTCGGCGCAACCTGGATATCGAGCGGCCCACGTACACCAACCTCAATCGTCTGATCGGGCAGATCGTGTCCTCCATCACGGCCTCCCTGCGATTCGATGGGGCCCTGAACGTGGACTTGACGGAATTCCAGACCAACCTGGTCCCGTACCCCCGCATCCACTTTCCCCTGGCCACGTACGCCCCGGTCATCTCTGCCGAGAAGGCCTACCACGAGCAGCTGTCCGTGGCCGAGATCACCAATGCCTGCTTCGAGCCGGCCAACCAGATGGTCAAGTGTGACCCTCGGCACGGCAAGTACATGGCCTGCTGCATGTTGTACAGGGGGGACGTGGTCCCAAAAGATGTCAACGCGGCCATCGCCACCATCAAGACCAAGCGCACCATCCAGTTTGTGGATTGGTGCCCGACTGGATTCAAGGTAGGACTGGGTAATGTGGTGTGGTTTTACCTGTCAGCAGCAGCAGCCCAAGCACAGAATGCCCTTTGTGGAGAATACCCCCGTTCCTTGGCAGCCAGCCCCTTGGTTATAAATTAGTGAGCCAGAGTGATAATTTATTCATTGGTGCCTTTTGAACTTCCTTCCTGAGGAATCACACTATATATCTGTGGTGAGAATTTTTTTTTAACAGAACAGGAAATTTTTGGAACGATTTTTGTTCCTTCTTTTGGGTGGTGAATGAGTGTGGGGAAATGTAGTTTGGATTTAGAAATGTAGACATTTTCAAAGCATTTTAACAATTTATGTGGATATTTGAAATTGGGGCATTATTATAAACATTGTTGTCACGAAAACCCACTTTATTCCACAGACATTTAGAAATTAAACCCAATTTAAATGTCCCATGCAGTGTTTGATTTCAAGAAAAACTTTCATGAATTTTTTTGGAAAAAAATGGCAACATATTTATTTCTCATTTGGTAAGCTCAACAATTTTGGCCTGAGTTTGCCTCCAACGTAGTTTATACCAACCTTCCATTCGATACAGTATAGGAAACTTGCTGTCGCTTTGCAGCTTTGTCCAGTACTTGAATACTCAACTCTGTCAGTGCTTTCCATCTGGGAAAATGGGCTTCTCTCTGCCTTGCTTTTCATGCCATCTCTGTGGGCTCAGAACTCACCGCTTCTGGTCGGCCCGCTGCACTGGGTCCTTTCACCCAAAGTAGAGCACTTTCTACTCTGGGTTCAGGGGTCAGCACGGTTGGCAGACCAGCCACCTACCTAGTTTTGTAAATAAAATGTTATGTGAACACAGCCACACCTGTTAATTGGCGTGTCATCGTGGCTGCTTTTGTGCGACAAAGAGAGCATTAGTAATTGTGACCGAGACCGTGTGGCCTGCCCAGCCTCGGATATGTGCTGTCTTGCCCTTTATAGACAATGTTTGCTGAGCCCGGTTCTAATTGACCCTATGTATTGCTGCCCAAATCTCGGGTCACATTGTCCCCTGATTTGGAAACTATTCTAGAATGCCTCCCCTTTGGTCCCAGCCCCGGAACATCACCCCTTTCTTCTACTTAGCACACACGTAGGCCGTCTCCCGTTGCGGCAGTAGCAACCGTCTTCGGACCTCTGACAGCACTCCTGTCATCCTGTGATGCACACACGGGCTCACTTGATGGGAGACGGGGGTATGATCTCCCCTCGTGATAAAACCATAGTGCTCTGACTCGAGTGGAAGCGGTTTCAGCTACAGAAATGAATCCCCATCTATGGAAGCCTATGGAGAAAATAATATCTGAAGAATAGAAAGTAGTATCCCTTTCTTCCTTCCTTCTTTTCTTTCTTTCTTTCTTTCTCTTTCTTTTTTTTCTCTTTCTTCTTCTTTTTCTATTTTTAGGATTAACTTTAAGTGCCATTTATTCCGGTAATATCCCTTTTTAGAAGAAACAGTCCTGTTACCTGAGCACCTCACATGGCTCAGGTGCTGGGACACAGCCCTTCCGGCAGCTTGGGCCCGAGCCAGGCTGGCCGGCTCCAGGGCTTCTTTTTCCCCATTGTCCTTGTCTAGAAACCAGCAGCCTGCTCACCTGACACCTCGCCTGGCATGAAGAAGGCGCCTGCATGTCTTCCGTTTCCATGAAAGCATCCTCCATTTCTGGGTTTGACTGAAGCTTCACAGACTTTTTTTCTTCCCGTTCTCTGGCAGGTGGGCATCAACTACCAGCCCCCCACCGTCGTCCCCGGGGGTGACTTGGCCAAGGTGCAGCGGGCTGTGTGCATGCTGAGCAACACTACCGCCATTGCCGAGGCCTGGGCCCGCCTGGACCATAAGTTTGACCTCATGTACGCAAAGAGGGCCTTTGTGCACTGGTACGTGGGGGAAGGCATGGAGGAAGGGGAGTTCTCTGAGGCCCGGGAGGACCTGGCAGCTCTGGAGAAAGATTATGAAGAGGTGGGTGTGGATTCCGTGGAAGCAGAGGCCGAAGAAGGGGAAGAATACTGAATGGGAGTCATCTGGCAACCATCCCTTTGTTTCGCCCCCACTATAACATTACAAGATATGTTTACCTATTAAAGTTTCTGTATTGAACCATCGTGTCCCTTGTGCTGCACCTTGACAGAATTCCCGATCCAGACACCTGCCTTTTCCAAGTGCATTTCCAGGGGGAAAAAACATGTTTCTTCTCGGAAAAAGCCAAGCATGTTTGTCTATGTTTAGTTACCACTTTACCCCTAGAAAGAAGGCTTCAAAAGGCATGGCTGAGGGAATTAGGAAAAATGCTTTGGCTATTCTTAAATTTTTTTATTCTTGATGTTCCTTCGGAAAATGGAATAGTAATCTGGTTTATTTTTCTAAATGTGGAATGGCAACTTTCACCCAGTCATGTGGGAGGGCCCAGGGAGGCAGCCCCGCCCTAGCGCAAACTCCTTTACTGAGGCTGTTTTTAGCAAGGCCTTTGTTTTGGGGTTTTTTTGGTTAAAATTTTTTTTTTAACATAAATTTTTGTTGCTCTTTTTTTTTTTTAAGATTTTTATTTATTTATTTGAGAGAATATGAGAGAGAGTACATAAGGGGAGAGCGGGAAAGGGAGAAGCGGACTCCCGGTGAGCAGGGAGCCGGATGCAGGACTCGATCCCGTGACTCCAGGATCATGACCTGAGCTGAAGGCAGTTGCCTAACCAACGGAGCCACTCAGGCGCCCCGGTTTAATTTTTTTTTATTATTTATCTATTTGAGAGAGAGCGAGGGAGTCAGCACGAGTGGGAGGGAGAGGGAGAAGCAGGCTCCCTACTGAGCAGGGAGCCCAAACTGGGGCAACCCAGGACCCTGAGATCATGACCTGAGGCGAAGGCAAACGCTTAACTAAGCCACCCAGGCGCCCCTCTTGGTTTTTTAAAAAAGATTTATTCATCTTCATTTTAGAGAAAAATTTATCACAAGCAGGAGGGGCAGAGGAAGGGGGAGGGAGAATCCCAAGTCAGCTGCGCTGAGCGCAGAGCCCGCAGAGCCCGAGGTGGAGCTCCATCTCAGAACCCTGACAGAGGTCATGACCTAAGCCAAAACCAAGAGTCGAATGCTCAACCGACTGAGCCACCCAGGCACCCCTAGGCCTGGTTTTATCCCTAACTCGGCCGCCTCCCTGCCAGAAGGAACTCCAACAGAGCCTTCTGCCCATTACATTTTTCCCAAAATGTGATCTGTGCCCACCGCCCACCCATCCAATTTATAGGGACCTCTCCCAGAGTAAGCTGTGAGCACTGCACTTTGTCAGGTTCTTTTGATCACGCATCCTGGTCCCTTTTTGTTCTCGCTGGAGTTTCCTTTCTTGCAGTCTAGTCTTTCCCGGGAGCCAGCATGGGTCCCAGAACCCTGCCGGTTTCCCGCTGCCGCGCCGCCAGACCCGTAGGCTGGGACACTGCGCCGCCAAGGGAGGCCGCTCCTCGGGTGCCAGGAGTTACCCCGAAAGACAAAGAGGGACCCCCGTGTGGGACGGCGCTGGCGTTCAGGGAGGCTGGGACCGCGCAGCGCAGACCCGGCGGCGACCTTACGCTCCCACCGCTTCCGGGGCCCGCCCCGCCCCTCCGGCCAGCGCCTCGCTCTTCCGAGTCTCTATGGTACCAACTTCCACCGCGCGCCACTCCTCGCGAGACTTCGGCGGCGCAGCAATGGCGAGATCGTGAGTGCCGCTGACGGGAGTCAGGAGAACGGGCTGGGACTGGGCTCGGGCGAGATCGGGCCGGGGGAGACCCGGCAGGCCAGGGCCGCCTGGAGCGGAGCGGCGGCTGGGGGCGCAAGGCCCCTGCGGGCCTGGACAGCCGCCCACGAACAAGCTCCCGCCTCTTCCCCAGATGCCGCGTCACTGCTCCGCCGCCGGCTGCTGCACACGCGACACGCGCGAGACGCGCAACCGCGGCATCTCTTTCCACAGGTCAGCGCGCGTGCGTGCTTGCGCGCGAAGGTTCACGGGCGCATGCGCCCGTTCCTCACCCCTCCCTTCCCCCGCCCCCCCGTGGAGCCACGATTGCGCTTGCGCCTTCCTCTGTTTGGCGCGAGGCTTGTACTTGTAGGTGGGAAAGGGTGAAGGGGGCGGTGCCGGTGCGACTGAGTTTAGTTGGGAGAGGAAGCACGGGAGATCCACGAGCCTGGGGCCTTCTGTTCTGTGACTCTTAACCTACTAGGTGATACTAAGGAAGTTGCTCTCCCTGAGGCCTCAGTTTCATCATGTGGGCTTGGGAGGACGGTGTTTACCCGGAGAACTGAAGGGAGGTCTGGTGGCGGCATGTGCAGGACCAGCCCTCGCCTCCTGGAGAGCTTGGGCAGCTGGAGCCCAGGGCTCCAGACACCCTGGTGCTCACTGGTTTGTGGCTCCGCAGACTTCCCAAGAAGGACAACCCGAGGCGAGGCTTGTGGCTGGCCAACTGCCAGCGGCTGGACCCCAGCGGCCAGGGCCTGTGGGACCCGGCTTCCGAGTACATCTACTTCTGCTCCAAACACTTCGAGGAAAACTGCTTTGAGCTGGTGGGAATCAGGTGAGCTCCCTTGGCGACCATCGCTGGGGTAGGGTTTAAAGCATCAGAGTAGCTGGCCGATTGGGGCAGCTGTAGGGCCAGAGGAGGAGGGTCCTGCAGTCACTGGCTGGGGGACCAGACAGACCTGGTTCCCAGCGCAGCTGCCTCTTCCCAGCTTTGTACCTCAGTGACAGGAAGACCCATCCCCTCAGGATAACTGGGCCAGTGACAAGGGAGAAAAACATTAGCTTTTTCAGAGGCTGTTGCTTAGAACCCAAGTCCTCCCAGCAAGTCCACAATGAAATTTTTCTTTTCATTGTGACCAACTAGGCTGGTCAGCCTAGTTCCTGTGTAGCCTTTCTACACCTTCACTTTGAGGAGTCCTGCAGGGAAGAGAATGGGTGTAACTCTACCTAACTTGGTATTCCTTAAATTAAGTGATTGCAAAATGTCTACCCACCTCCCGCAATGCTAGCATGGGAGAACCTGATCCAGGGTGCTGGGGGCATGCTAGCTCTGTGCGCTGCAGGTTGCCCTGGATGGCAGTATGTGTTCTCCATCTCATCCAGGCTGCTTTCCCCCACAGTGGGTATCACAGGCTGAAGGAGGGGGCAGTTCCCACGATATTTGAGTCTTTCTCCAAGTTACGCCGGACAACCAAGACCAAGGGGCACAGTTACCCACCTGGCCCCCCTGACGTCAGCCGGCTCCGGCGATGCAGGAAGCGGTATGTGTGCTGTGGGTGGAGGGTGCCTTGCTCCCACCCCAAGTCTGAGAGACTGGGGTTTATTTAGGGTGTCTGCCAGCAGTCATGCTGGACAGGGTTCTGAACCAGTAGAGTGGGCTCGGTGGGCTGCTGAAGTGGGGTCTGGCAAGGCCTTGGCCTGGCCTATTAGTCTCTTTCTCTCTCTCTCTCCTCTCAGCTGCTCTGAGAGCCGAGGGCCCACGACTCCATTTTCTCCACCTCCACCTGCTGATGTCACCTGCTTTCCTGTGGAAGAGGCCTCAGCCCCTGCTGCTTTGCCTGCCTCCCCCACTGGGAGGCTGGAGGCTGGCCTCAGCAGCCCCTTCGCAGACCTCCTGGGGCCCCTGGGTGCCCAGGCAGATGAAGCAGGCTGCAGTGCCCAGCCCTCGCCGGAGCGGGAGCCCGACAGACAGCCGTCCCCCCTCGAGCCACGGCCCGTCTCACCCTCAGCCTACATGCTGCGCCTGCCCCCCCCGGCCGGTGCCTACATCCAGAATGAGCACAGCTACCAAGTGGGCAGTGCCCTGCTCTGGAAGCGGCGGGCTGAGGCCGCACTCGATGCCCTGGACAAGGCCCAGCGCCAGCTGCAGGCCTGCAAGCGGCGAGAGCAGCGCCTGCGGCTACGGCTGAGCAAGCTGCAGCAGGAGCGCGCCCGGGAGAAGCGGGCACAGGCGGATGCCCGCCAGACTCTGAAGGAGCACGTGCAGGACTTTGCCATGCAGCTGAGCAGCAGCATGGTGTGAGGGAGGGGCTGCCGGCCCCAGGGCTGCCTGTTGGGGCGTCAGCCTCTTCCTCCCTTGGAATCCGCCTGGAAAGGGACCCAATCTGAGCTGTGTCCACCAGACCTGCCAGATGCCATAATAAAGTGGATTCTAGGAGGCCCTGCTATCTGGCTCAGCTGCGGCTGGGGCCCCTCCCCTGGAGTCTGAGCCCTCAGCTGTGGAGAGCAAGAAGTGCAGCTCTTGCCCGCCCCTCCTCATGCAACTCCTGGCTCCACAGGGTTTTCTGAGGGACAGGATGGTGTGAGCAGAGGCCAGGGGCAGCACCAGGAACCTTCTCCTTGGTACCTGTAACAGCCCAGACTCCCGCAGTCTCGTCTTTTTGAAAACACTCATGAAACCCAGGCTAGACTCCATTTGCAAGGACACCTGCATGGCTTCCATCCACTGGCCCAGTTTTGGCCCGGTCTGCCCAGAAGTCGGTACGGTACAGCACTTCAACCCCAGCCTGCAGACCAGCTACCCCCTTATCCCTGGGCCTGGCTTATCTGAAAAACGGACAAAGACAGCAATTTCTGACCTGGCGCTGTATGCTTGGCAAGTAGTAAAGGCCCAGCAATGACACTTCTAGTCCCCAGAGGTCTGGGAAGAGGTGGGGAAGCTTGGAGGCAGCCTTGGGGGCAGCAATCCCGGCCTCAACCTGAGTCCCTGTTGTTCTTCAAGTTGACTGGAATGTAGGCTTCCCTGCATCTGTGATGGTGGCAAACAGCTCAGGGTGTGGGGTGGTTTTAACTGCACACGTAACCTCCCTGCTGGGCTTCGGCCACGGTAGCCCCAAGAGCATAGCTGAATTCTCCCTGGTCCTGGAAAGTGCCACACAATGTTCTGAAATTGGCTTTCTAGGATCCTTGGTGTGTAAGTTCATTTATTCATATGTTTAGAAGAGAAAGTCAAGCGACCGGTTACAAGGGTCCACTGTAGAGCAGGGTTTGCGGATCATTCACTGGGGTTTCCAGGCTCACAGAGGCTCATCTTGCACTGGGCCGTTTCCTAGCTTACTGGCGGCCTTATGGACTCCCCTTGCCTGAGGGTGCCCACCTGCCACTGGGGTTCCCCATCCGTCCGTACACAGCACCTGAGACTCAAGGGCCGAGGAGAGGCAGGCGCCACGTTTGCGTGGGGGCACAACCGGAAGAAGGATGTGAAGGACTGTCTCCCCGAAAGTAGCCCCCTGGTAGCCGGGGTAGAAGGGTCCCTGGGATTCTTGTTGCCAGAAAGAAAGCAGAACAGTGCTTTCTGTGTTAGGGTGGACTCCCAGGGCCTTCTGTTGGGGGATGGGGAAGGATGCTGGGGCAAGGCAGCCTTGGGGCTCCAGGGTTCCCCTCGGAGGGGAGGGGCTAGCCTGGATTCCACCCCCACAACCGGTCACCCCAGATGGGGCCGGGAGTTGCTGACACGGGTAGAGAACTGGACAGGACTGGCCGGTCCCAAGCACTTGGGCCACCTGATCCGTCCTCAGCTCAGGGACTATGCCTATGAGGTGTGTGTAGTGGTTAGCACTACTATGGTCTTAATGGCATGTCTGTGACAAATACTTAGAGACAGATGGGGACCCAGGGGGCACCTTCACTGACTTCTCCCTGGCGCAGCTGGGGGCCCTTGATGTGCACACAGTGGGGTGGGATCCTGCAACCCCTCTAGAAGCCTGGCCCAGGCCAGAGTGGCTGGCCCCTCAGGCTAGGAGCTGACTCAGAGCCCTTCACACCCCCAAATTCATCTGGAGTTAGATTCCATGTGCCTGTTACTGTTGCCCACCCACAAGCTCCGGGTGATAGCAGGGGCCCTTACAGCAACCTTGGTGAAAGTGAGGGGGTACTGTGTAGCCCCCCCTCCCCCCCCCGGGACAGAGGGACCTTGGCACTAGGACCCAGTGGCCAGATCCACAAGCCATGCACAGTCCCTGCCGGATGGGCAGCCCCACACCAGCTCCATGGTGGGCTTTCCCACTGCTGGGCCCTGGCTTCCCACCCATACCTCCACCTGAGAAGACGGTTCCACCTGGGGGGCCTGTTTCACCATCCACTCCCTGTGGGACCTGTGTCCTCAGCAGTGAAATGGGGCAAAGGCCCCGTGTCCCCTTTCCCTTTGAAGGCTCTGGGCAGCCTGCCCCTTGGCTGGCAGGTCCAAGCGCTCTGCCTCGGGCCTCAGCGTGGCCAGTGTAGTCTGCAGTGGGCAGGGCAGGCATGGTTATTCTCGAGTGGGCCAGCACCGCGTGGGCCCTCAGATGTCAGCACCCAGCTCCGCACACTGCTTGTCGGAGATGTGGGAAGCCAGGGAGTCTATGATGTCAAGCAGCAGCTGCTGGCTCAGCGAGCGCAGCGTGGGCAGCTTGGAAACCTGCAGGAGGCAAGCAGAAGGCCCAAACGGGATGGGACCGGATTCACGGGAGGGTCAGGGTGGGCTTCGGGGTCTCCCCAGAGCTCCACCAAGCCAGGGCACGGCTGACTCTGAGTGAAACGGGGTGGCCCCTCTGCTTGGCTCACCCAGGGCCCCCTGCCGCAGGAGATGAGCAGCTTCCACGCGCCCCACCCCGCACCTGGCCAAGGCAAGGCCAAGGGGAAGTGGCTCCTGAAGAGGGGTGGGCGGCGAGCGCGGGGCTGGGAGGGCCCTGACCTTGGTGAACTGGTGCACGATGATGTGCAGGCAGTGTCGCTTCATGTCCAGCGCCTGGGTCTTGTCAGCCGCCTCCAGGATCTGGAACGGCAGGTTCCCTGAGGGGCTGCTCCCTCTCTCACCCGCCCGCCCAGGTTCAGGGAGGCCCGTGGGCACCACCGAGCTACCTGAAGTACGTTCTGCACTGTCACGTTCATCTCTAGGTTCTGCTTGCAATACGCCTGCAGCCGGTTGTTGTAGAAGCCATAATAGTAGGGGGCCGCAAACAGGTAGCTGGGGGCTGGTTAAGGAGCTGCCGGCCCAAGGAGCTTGTCCTCCCGCCACCTGCCCATCTCCCCTGGGGGGGTGCAGCTGGAGCCCCAGGCCCAGCAGGGGCGGAGGAAACCTGAGCCCCCTCCTGCTTGCTCAGAACAAGGAAACCCACCCCAGCACAAGGGACGGACTGGAGCCCCAACTCGCTCTCTACACGGACTCTGAAGTACTTGGGGTCGAAGGCCCTAGTCCAGACCCAAAGAAAACGCAGGAAGCCTCTCCCAAGAAAACACCCACGTGCCCGTTTGCAGGACAGACCATGGCCTCACAGAGCACGGAAAGGCATCTCACACCCAGTTCAGACCCCCAAGAAGTGACGTGATCAGGAATCCCTCCATGGCGGTCTACTCACCTGTCACACACAACGCTAACCAACCCCTTCGTCTGGGCAGTGATGAGGGTCAAGAACCCACCCACCCCTCCTGGCTGCAGACCAATCCGTTCAGGGAACCCCAGAAGAGCACCAGGCACCAGGGAAGCCAGGACCAGCCTGCCAGTCTCCAGAGCTGCCTGAGGTGGGCCCTGGGAGCGCCCCTGGCGGGGGAGGATGCAGAGAGTCCTCGGGCGGCATGTTGACCTCACCGTAGTATATGTAGCGTAGCATGGACTCGAAGGCCTGCCTGCTGGGCACCATCTCCCCAATGGAGATGTTCACCTGGCCATCCTCTGGCATGAAGGACCGGAACATGGCCTCGAAGTAGCTGCAGACAGGGGCGGGGGGAGTCCTGGCTCTTAGCAAATGCAGGCAGGGTGGGGGCCTGCCCGGCCCTGCCACCACATACCCCCCACCCACCCACCCACCTGGAGCGGGCGGCCAGGATGGCCTTGTGGGCCGGTCTCGGGTGCCCATCCAGCAGCAGAGTGATGTCACAGAACTCCGCACCTGCTCCCTCCAGGTACGCCTTCATGTCCTGGATCAGAGATGTGCCTGGTGGGGAGGCCAGAGGGTAGTGTGGAGGGTCCTTGAGCAGATGCCTCCCGCCCCCCAGCAGACCCTGAGCCATCGGCCTCAGGGCCCTACGGGCACTGCTGCTTGCACATCTGCCCATGTTGCTGCCCTGAACAAACCTGCCCCCGGGGCCAGAGGCCCTACTCCGGCCCGCCCCCCAGAGTCTGATCTGTGAGCCCTCCTCCCCGCCCTTGTGCTTGAGCCCCCTCTGGGCCTGGCAAGCACTGTGTCCCGCCACGTGTCACCCAGGGCCAACGGCCAGAGGCAGCACAGGGCCCGGGGAGTCAGGGGATGAAGGAGACAGTGCTGTCCCTTCCCGGGCTAGGTGGGGACAAGGGAGGCACCAGGAACGTCTGAACTCTTCGGACACGCTTCCCCCTCATCAGGCCCCCCAAGGGCGGGCGCGCCTAGAAGAGCAGCTCAGTGACTAGTCACTGTGACCTGAGCACGCTGCTCCCGACGGAAGCCCTCAAAGCTGAGGTCAGTCAGGGAAGCCACCCTTGCCAGACAGGGGCCCTGTGCCGGTCTCAGGAACGGGCTCAGGAGACTGCCCGCCGCGGTCGATGCCTGTGGGGCGGGGCGTCTTCCCTCCAGTGAGCTGGCTGGCTGCCTGCCCCAGCCCGAGCCCCAGGAGCACTCCAGGTCCCCTGCGCCCAGACCCCATGCTGGAGGCCAGGCAGGTACTGCTGTGGCTCCCGTCTCCACCCAAGACGAATGCCATCCCTGTGTGCTGTGTGCTGCCCCCAGGGATGGGGCCTGGGTCCCTACCGATGTCCACGGGCTGTTCTGAGGGGGCGCGGGCAGGCGGCTGCTGCTTCCGCCGCACGATCTCCACTATCAGTGGGGAAGAGAGGCGCTCGAACTCCTTCATCATGATCACCTGGTTGAAGTGGGACTCCTTCACCACGAAGTTCAAGCAGTGCTCCTGGGACACACAAGCCGGAGCAGGCAGGCAGGGTCAGGCCATGGCCGACGGGGCAGCAGCCTGGCTGGGACGGCCTGCAGTAGGGGGCTCAGGGGGCCACTTCGGGGGGCGGGGGGGGAGTTTGGCAGCGGGGAACAGTGGGTTGTGCCCCCCGGGCCCGCACCTTTAACTGGCCCAGTTGCAGCCTGGCGGCGCTCTCACACACAACCAGCACGTTCTGCAGGTCCACGGAGGCCTCGATGTACTGTCGGCACAGCTGCTCCAGGCGGCACAGCTGGAAGCTCAGTGCCAGCTTGTACACGTCCATGATGAGCAGCACGTCCTCCACATGGCCTGCAGCCAAGAGCTGCCTGAGCCTCGGGGACATGGGGAGAGGAACAAGTGCCGGGCAGGGCAGGAGGGAGGACAGGGTCCGGGGCTCTGGGACGTCAGGCAGCAACTCCACCGCACGAGTGGCCATGGGTGGTCGTGGCCCCCGAGCCTCGGGCTGCCCACCTGCCCCCCCCCCCGCTCCCCCCCCCCCCCCCCCCCGGCAGCACACCTTTCCGCGGGTACTTGATCTTGTCCGTGTAGAGGAACTGCATGAGCACTTCGAAAGGCCGGGCCTCAGCCTCGCGGATGGCCACGTGCAGCAGGGGCGGCCGGGCCCCCCCCACGGCCCCCCCCACGGCCCCACCAGGGACCTCCCTGGGAGCTGGGGCTGCCTCCTCCTCCAGTTTCTGCAGGGAGAGGAAGGGGAACTCAGGGGTGCCCCGTGGATGCCGCCGCCCTGGCCGGAGGGGCCTGGGCAGGCACCTCACCTGGGCCAGCCGTTCCCGTGCCTGCACGATCTTCCTGCGGAGCCAGCGGCTTCGAGCTGTGACAATGGCCACGTGGCCCTGCACACACTCCTCCTTCTGTAGCAAGAATGACGCCTCGGTGGGGAGCACGGGACCCTCCTCCTGGCAGGGATGGAGGTCCGGCCAGCCCGCGGAGGGGGTCTGGGGCTCCAGGCACGAGCAGGAGACCGGCCACGCCTCGGTGCACAGCCCCCACCCTGCAGCATGGCAGGCAGGCTGGGCATGGGGAAGGCACCCACCTCGCCCAGCACAAACTCCACGTCGCAAAACTGGCGGCTCTCCCACAGACGCCCGTAGTCCTCATGCAGCGTGCACTTGGGGTAACAGGAGAACTGCCAGAGGAGACCCCAGTGTTCCCACGGGAAGCCACCACTGGCTCAGGCCCTGCCCTCCTCTGGGCCACACACCTCCAGCCCAGCTCAGCCCAACTCCAACCACTGGCCCAAGCCTGCTCCCAGGCCTCTGCGGGCTCCACTGTGAGCCCCCAGTGCTGCGCCACCCACCCCACCCTGCACGGAGGTTCCTCAGACTGCCCTCAGCCTAGAGTCCCCTATCCCGTCTGCCCGACTCCTCGGGTGGGCTGCCATCCCACCAGACACAGCCCTGACTCTGGTGTCTCGGACAAGCCCCCCACCCCCACTGGGCCTCAGTTTCCATCATCTGGGACCCGTCCACCCTGGCTGGCCCCCCTGCCCTCAGCCCATGAGCCCCACCTGGAACCGGTACATCTCCCCACTGCGGATGTTGTTGTCCACGGTGCCCCCGAAGATGTACATGGCGTCCGAGATCACAGCGGCTGCATGGAAGAGCCTTCCGCTTGGCAGCTGGGCGGAAAGGAGGAGGGGCAGATAAGTAACCCCAACAAGTACTTCTCTGAGCCTCAGTCTCCCCATTTGTGAGAGGGGCTGACCACAGGACTGGCATGGGGGCAGTGATGGAGAGCAGTCAGGGCGCCGACCCTCACCTCGGAGGCCGGCGGGGCAGGCTGCTTGGCTGTGGTGGTGCCAAAGTCCAGGCCAAAGACATCTCGGGACTTCTTGAAGCCACCCCGCTCCTCAGAGGCCAGGGCAGGCGCCTCCTCGGAAGCAGATGCTCGCTCTGGCACCTCAGCCCCGCCGACCTGGAGGGGAAAGACATGCAGGCATGGGACTAGTCCACCAGGGCCAGGCAAGGCAGCGCACACCAACCTCCCAGCGACCCTGTTCAAGAGCGAGAGGTTTGGGAGGGGCGGAGCCACAGGATGAGGGCCCTCGCGGCATGGCTCAGAGGGGGAGCCGGCAGCAGTCAGGGTGGGCTTCTGGGAGAACATCCTCGGCACCGTGCAGACATGACAGGAAGTGTTAAAAGCCCGCAGGCTGCGAGAATGGAGAACAGGGACCCAGGGTGGCCACCGTGCCTGGCAGCACGCACCTCACTGTCGGAGCTGGGCTGGACGACCTCCCAGGTCTGGAAGTCCACATCATAGCAGTGCAGCTCATTAGGCAGTGTGTTGTCCGCCGCGCCCCCAAACACGTACAGGTGGCGGTCAAAGGCCACCATGGTGTGCCCGTAACGACGCTGTGGGGGGGGTGGGGAGCCACGAAGCAGGTGCTCCGTGGGGATGCGTGTCCACCTGGGGGCACGTGACAGTGAACTAGTGCCAGGGTGGGGGCTCCTGCTCCCCCATGGCCTCCACCTGGGTCCTGAGGCCTCCCCACAGCAGGCTCCGGGCTGACCAGCCAGCTCAAAGGAGGGCCAGAGTGCATACGCCCAATGCCCCTCATCCCCTTTCGCTCTGGCACCAGCCCTGCCTGAGCCCCCTTCTATCCCCGAGCCATAAAGCAGGCAGCAGCGGTGGCCCACTGTCTCCCCCCACCACCTCTCCAGATCTGTTCCCGCTGGCTCTGAGCCCTCTTTGTGGCCTGCCGCTGTGAGCACTGAGGCCAGGATGGAGACGCAGGCCTGCATGCAGTGTGGCTCTCCTCTCAGGCCCGGCCAGCCCGGGGCAGGAGAGCTGGGTGGGTGGCAGCAGGATTCCCCCTGCCTGGAATGTCCTGAACTTTCTCCTTCCCAGCCCACACCTCTGGCCTCCAGGGCAGCTCCAAGTCCCCTCCCAAGCCTCTCTGACCTACAGCAGAAGCTCCCTATTCCCTCCCCAGAGCCAATGCCCAGCCTGCGCCACCGCCGGAGCTCGGTCCCCATCACGAGGGCTGGCCTGCAGCTAAGGACAGCATAGGCTGGAGGCTCTCAAGGCCTGAGCACCCCCCTCGTCCTCTGCCATGGTATGAGATCTATACCAGCCACATTTGTTACCGGTGGCACTGACCAGGTCATTCGCCGGGCAGGAGCCATCCTCCACACTGGACAGACAGAGAGGACAGCCGAGCCCCATCTTGCTCAGCCGCAGCCACACCCCAAGGGGCCTGCTTGCACAGTTTGAGGGCACCCACATCTCCTCGCTCCTCGCTCCCCGGCCCCCCCAAACCCGGCCTGCCCTGTTGTGCCACAGACGCGGGCGCCCACCACGGGTTCCACCACCAGGGTGCTCACGTCTTGTCCTTGAATTCGAACTGGAAGAGGTTGTTGGTTATCTTGGCTCCGCTCTGCCCCGAGAACACAAACATCTTGTCCCGGCACACGGCCACTGGGAAGTTGCAGCAGGACGGCGGGATCTCGCCGCTCTGAGCCACCTGCGGTAAGGGAAGGCAGCTCAGCCAGAGCCTCCCGAGACCCGGTGCTCGGGGTCAAGACTTACACTGCTGAATTGGGACTACTTTCACTCCTGAAACTTCTTCCGTGAATGAGGGTTCATAGATTAATTTCTGTAGAACAGCGTGAAGCCCCACTTCACCCACCTAACATGGGCCCAGTTTCTAACAGTTGATGCTAAAAATCATCACTACAAGGGAAAGACACCCCAGGGGGGAGACAGTGGAGCAGTCAGACAGATCGCCCAGAAAGAGCAGCAAGCAGGACACCCGCCAGCAGGCTGAACTCGCGGTGTTCAAATAAGGGTGGATTCTACCCAAGCTGCCCAGTCACCGGATGTGCTGCCATCAGAAGCCCAGAGCCTTTAGTCACTAGGTAAGTGCTGCGGGAATCGGGCAGGAAGTTGCAAGGAGGGTGAGGCTGAGAACGAGGGCTTTGGCAAGGGGAACAAAGCAGTCCCTACCCCGGCCCCCCCAAACCCCTCACCTCCTCCCAGCATGTGAGCTCGCGGTCCTGGAGGCCAATGGTCCACATGTCGTTCAACCTGCATTAGGACAGGGGGGGGTCAGGATCTCCACAGCTGGGGCTGGTGGCAAGGTGGGCCTGGGCCCGGCCAGGAGGGATGGCTCCAGGGAAGGACACATCACGCAGGACTCTGATCGGGGCCCTAGGGAGCAGCCATGAGGTGGGAGCTTCAGAGCAGGGGGGCTGCACTGAATCCCTGCTATGTGCCCCCCCAGCCCAGACAGGAATGCATGGCCTCATTCCCAATGTCCAGCCAGCGTGGCAGGGTCCGTCTCACTCGGCTGACCCCTGGGGCTCGGAGAGGACTTCAAAGAGTCAACACTCACAGAGACCACCACTAACATTGCCACCACTTGGAGCCGCTGCTGCTGCTGCTGCTGCTGCTTTTTTAATTAATTTTTTTTTTAGTAATCTCTACATCCAACATGGGGCTCAAACTCACAACCCCTAGATCAAGAGTGGCACGCTCGGGCGCCTGGGTGGCTCAGTCGGTTAAGTGGCTGCCTTCGGGTCAGGTCATGATCCTGGAGTCCTGGGATCGAGCCCCACGTCTGGCTCCCTTGCTCAGCGGAGAGCCTGCTTCTCCCTCTCCCTCTGCCTGCCACTCTGCCTACTTATGCTAGCTCTCTGTCAAATAAATAAAATCTTTAAAAAAAAAAGAGTGGCACCCTCTTCTGACTGAGCCAGCCAGGCGCCCCACCCCTTGGAGTTTCTATGCTGCTGAGATGTTGGGGAATGAGCACATGCTACTTTTATAATCAGAAAAATACAGCAAAGCCAATTTCCTAAAATGAGGAGAAGGCCTGGTACACGGGCAGGAGCCCTAGGTTGTCATCCACAGGGGAGGGGCTGGGTCTGAGACCTGCGGCTGCCGCCACCTGCTCACACAGCCCCTCAGGGTCCCTCCTCACTGTGGGCCTGAGTATCTGCACCCCAGCAATTCAGGGGGCCACCCCCCACCCCACAACTCTGACGACACCCAGCTATGACACCTGTTGCCGTGGAGACCAGCACAGTGGCAAAGAGCTGCACAGACGTGGGCCAGACCTGCTGCCCCCTTGGACACCCCCAGGAGGGGCCTCCGGGGTGCCAATCCTTCTAACCTCCGTGGGCTTGGGCGGGAGCTCTGCTCAGTTGCCCTCCACCTCCATCCCCTCACTCCCGTGCACGACACCACCCTCCGGAGATACCCCAGCCTGAGCCTTCGCATACCAGGAAGGCCCGCTCCGGGCCTCAGGACACTGGCGGGGCTGCTCGGAGGTGGGGTGCTGGGGCCGGGCACCACCTACCTGGCATTGCCATCATAGCCAGCGAAGATCCACAGCTTGTCACTATACACCGTGGCACCGTGGGCGGACCTGGCGACTGGCAACCTGTAGCGCGAGGTGGGGGGGTGAGGAACGAGGCCACCCAGCACAGACGGGAGCCTCACAGCCCCATAAGGCCGGCCGGGACCCCAGGGCTGCGGCGCCTACATCTGCTGACACCAGGGCTCTGAGGATGCCAGCTCGGTGTCATGAGGCTGAGCTCGCGAGGTGGCACAGGGGGATGAGGAATTCAGATGTCCACGGGGTAAAGCCTTCTCCCAGCCACACCAAAATATCGAACAGTGGGGTGGGGGGGGGTGGTCCTGGCAAAACAGGACCAGAGAAGCACCCATCAGCTCTTTGAAAGGAGAGAATCTAAGGGCAGGGAGGAGGCCTCAGGCAGGCACAGCTGGGAGTGAGCACAACTCAGGCCTTTCTGGGCCTCAGGCTCTTCTTCTGTAAGGCTACAGGGGTCCCAGTGCAGTAGCCATCAGGACACCCCCCAAAGGTTTCAGCGAAGTTCCTCACCGTCCTTCAATCTTCCACTCCGTCCACTGGCCAGTTGCAAACTTATATTCAAAAAGGTCGTTTTTATTCTTCAAGTTAGAATTGGAATAAATGTCCCCAGTGTAGCCCCCTGGGTAGAGAGAGGGAGAAACTGTCAAACCCAAAGATAGCATCTCAGAGGCTTCAAACCCCAGGAGGTAGGGGCAGAATCTGGCCTCATTTAAGATGTATTCAGGGACTCCCTCCATAAACCTTGAGGAGCACCTCCTGCCTGCCTGACTCCTTACTAGGCTCTGGGGACACAGAAATGAGCAGAACCCTGTTCCCTGCCCCTGGTGGAGTGACAGAGGAGGGAGGTGAGCCACCCTCCTGCCCAGTCACAGGGGGGGACCATTCCAACCCTGCAAGATCGGGACAGTTAGGGAAAGGGGCCCCCAGGCCAGTGCAGGAACCCAAAGGCCCTGGAGATGAGAGGCATCTCACCGAAGACAAACATGCTGCTCCCATAGACAACGGCCGAGTGGTGGTAGCGGGGCGCCGGCGGGGTGCCAGTGGTGAAGGCCCTGGTTGCAGGGGGAAACAAGGCACGGGGGGTGGGTGGTCAACAGGGGTCAGCTAGCTGTGCAGTCCACACCACACAGGGCAGCCCCTGCCACCCCCAGGATTCCTTTCATTTTTGTATTTTGCAGGCAGTATCTATCTCGTTATAGAAACTTTTTTTAAAAGTTTTTTTTTAAACTTTATATTATTTTTATTTTTTTTTTTAGTAGGCTCCACGTGGGTCCAGCGTGGAGCCCAACACGGGGCTTGGCCTCACGACCCTGAAACCAAGACCTGAGCTGAGAGCAAGTGTCGGATGCTTAACTGACTGAGCCACCCAGAAGCCCCTCATTATAGAAACTTTGAACAAAAACTGCTGACAAGGAAAAAGCACAAAACCAGCACTAAGACTTGCCAGAAAGCACCATCTATACCTTTAGGTCACCCCCCGCCCCCTCCACACACACCTCTCCTATGCATATTGATGCCTCTGTATTGTAAATGGAGTCATGTGGTAGGTATTTTGTAACATCTGCTTTTTGGCCTCAACAGCCAGTGCGCCTTGGGCCTCCCGCTGCTCTGGACTGCACTGCACCAGGGCACATTCAGGGGCGCTGGGTCCCACCCGCAGCGGCCGGCCACATGCTTTCCTTATTGAACTAAAAACCCATTTATACGGCTTTCCTGGAGCGGCTCCTTTTCAGTGTTTTGTCCTTAAGCAATCGTTAGTAAAGGATCGTACAGTCTTTAAGGTGATTTTTAAAATTAATCTGTAACTACTGTCTATGTTATAAAAGCAAGTGTGAGGGGCGCCTGGGCGGCTCAGTCGTTAGGTGTCGGTCACGATCCCAGGGTCCTGGGATTGAGCCCCGCATGGGGCTCCCTGCTCGGCGGGAAGCCTGCTTCTCCCTCTCCCCCTCCCCCTGCTTGTGTTCCCTCTCTCGCTGTGTCTCTCTCTGTCAGATAAATAAATACAATCTTAAAAAAAAAAAAAAAGAGCAAGTATGAGAGGAACGAGACCTAAACTTCTATGGCAATCCCAGTGCTCAGTGACGTCCACCTCCATCAAAGGGGGGCAGTGAGACCCCACCACAGAGGGGACTCAGCAGACTGGCGGATACACACAGAGCTCCTGCCCGGAGCACGGCACCCGAGGTGACGCGGTGGTTCTGTGCGCCTCCTGCACAAGCAGATGGCAGAGCTCAGGAGGAAGCCCGGTACCTCCTAACCCTGGGGTCCCCTTCTCCCCTCAGCTGAGAGCTGCCCTCTGCGCAGAGCTGGAGACTGGAGCAGATGCGTACAAATATGCCGTGCCCAGAGAAGGCAGGTGTCTCGCCCAAAGCCACACAGCCGGGAGGGCCATCTGTGGGAGGCAGCCAGGGCTCGCATTCGGCCCACTACCCATGTGGGGTACTACCCGGGCAGAGGATGGGCCCCACAGGGTCACGGAGGGGAGGAGAACCAGTGTTGCCAGCCCCTGGAAAGCACCCTGCAGCAGCACAGGGTCGGTCCTGGAAGGACCCATCAGCCGATCCCCCGCCCCTCCGACCCCGGCCCCAGTGTCACCTCCCATAGCAGCTCCTGTCCCAGGAGACAGGCCCGGTGACTGAAGGGCTCTCCGGAGGCAGAATCTGAGGACCAGTAACCAATCAAACAGATCCCCGTAATTAAGAGGACTCAGAATAATCAATCTGAGTTCTGGACTAGGAAAGGAACCCAGAAGAGGGGAACACTAGGGGCCACTGTTATCTCCTCCTTGAAGCTTCTCTCCAGCTTTCCCCAGCATGACTCTGTTGGCAGTCAGGGCCCGGCACCAGGCTACGGAGTTCTGGGGAAAAGGGGGGGTGGGGCTGGGGCTCAGAGGCCACCCACCTGCACCAGGAGCAGTCCTTCACGTCGAACCGTAGGAGGTCGTTGAGCATGGTCTTCCTGAAAGACAGCCAGGGACAGGTGGGGTCAGTCCTGGGCTGGTCCCGGTCTGCTCTCCAGGACCCAGGAGACGGACACTGCAGCCCGGGCGTGGGGCGGTTGTGGGGACTCAGCCAGGGTCAGGCAACCAGCTGATGCCCAAGGGCATCATGATGACGCACCGCTCCCCAACTGGTGCGGGTACCAGGGCGGCAACACACATGGGACCCGCCTGCCTGGGGTCAGGTCCAAAACATGATCCTGGCTGCTTGAGGGCTCACACCTCACGGCAGGCTCCAGAACTGCTACTCCCACTCCCACTCACATGTCTCAGCGCCCCCTTCTCTGAGACTGTGCCACCACAATGCAGAGCTTCCCACATCTCAGGGGAGGCGCCTTTCCGCCTCTCTGATCTTCCTTCCACCTCTTTATTGCAAAGCCAACGTAACTACATCCAAGATACAATAAAATGGAAAACAAATCCACTGGCCACCTACCAGGACCTGCATGTTACCACCCAGCCCTTGTCAGTAAGAAGGAAGAAGGGAGTCAGCCAACAGGAGCCCAGCACCCTTACAGGCCAGGCCTGTATAGGGTGCCTCCTGCACCTCTCCCTCAGTCTGCACCAGGGGGCTGCGCTCCCCACCTGCATTTACAGAGGAGGAAGGGGCCCGGGAGATAAAGGGCGTGCCTAAGACCATGCAGTCAGGAAGCCAGGAGCTGGGAAGCAGAGATGTGACTGTAATTTCTCCCCTCTCCCATCTGCCCCTCCTCCCCCTCTCCTTCTCCCCCCTCCCCCTCCGGGACAGCGCAGGAACCCATCTTTCTTTGTACCCAGTCCACCTTTACAAAGTTGCACCCAGAGTGAGACAAATCTGTATCCTGTTTCTTGGTGCCACATTGTAGCAAAAGTATTTCTGCTTGTTGCTATACAGTTGCCATGCCAACTCGACCTGCTACAGAACACTGCTAGGGATGCTCCCCCTACTGCCCTGGGCTGGACCCCCGGCCTTTTCTGGTTTGGGGGATTGTCATCAAGGCTGCGGTGAACATCTGTGGGCAGATGTCTCCTCCTATTTCATTCCTTCCTGGGACATGCATTTATTGACTTGTCCGCGTGCTGGGTACAGGTCCCGTCCCGGGGAGGACACAGATAACAAACATCGTGTGCTCTGAGATAACCCTGAGATGATCTGGGCGATCTGTGCTCTTACCATGGAGCCAGCAAGAGATGCAGAAGGGGAGGGGAGGGCCGACGGCTGGTCCAGTTGGCCCTGGCGGTTGGGAAGGCCTCACTCACAGCAAATTCCAAAGAGAGGCAGGAAGGGGTGGGAAAGACGGAACAGCCAGTACAAGGGCCCGAGCAGGAGATGCTTGGTTCACTCAGAACACAGCAAGGCACTGGTGTGGCCCAGCGCCGTGCAAAACAAGGGCAGAGGAGCAGGATGGGCAAAAGTGTAGAGGGCCCCGCGGACCACCAAGACAGCTCGGGCTCCTAATCAGAGGGAGGGGAGCCATCCCGGGGTTATGTGCTGAGAAAGAACACACTGAGACTTGCATTTCCAAATGGATCCCTCTGACTGCTCATGGGGAAAGACACTGTGGGGGAGACAGGCTGGAAGCCAGCATCTGTGCCGGAGGAGACCATCCTGCCCAGTCTGCAGGTCCTCATGGGCTCCTGTGTACCCCACCAGCTCCAAGTCAGCGCCCCCCCCCCACCCCCAGGGAGTCTTGAAAGTCCTGAAAGGCTGCAGAACCAATCAGAGGCCGGCCCTTCTGGGCTTCAGGCCAACCCCTCCAGGAAGGCTTCCCTGCCCAGTTGAGAGGCAGGGACGGACTCATGGGCAGAATCGGTCAAGTGCAAATACTGCATCCGCAGTACCACTCAACCTCCATCCTGAGCCCTTCCCAGCTTTGTGTTCACTGACCCCCAGGAGCACACTGCCAAAGCAGGGCATATAGCCGCCCCACATACAGAGGAGGAGACCAGGGTGCAGCTAGTGCGGTTAAGCCACCTACCCAAGCCCAAAGTCACAAAGCTCTAACTTGAACTGAGCCCGGTCTATCCAGGAGACCAGAGTTCATGCCTCAGCCCCACATCTAGCAGGCTCCCAAGACTCCCAGAGCCCTGGTGGGCATCCCTGGCCTTTCCTGACCACATCAACGAATGAATGGAGGGAGGGCAGCCCTACCCAGACTCTAGGCCTCGTGCCATTCTGCATTCCCCAACCTCCGGGCCATTGCCCATGCTGATCCCTGGGCTTGGAACACTCTTCCTCCTTTACCTGATTCACTCCGACTTATCTTTCAGGTCATCAACCCCTCCAGGAAGGCTTCCCTGCCCAGACTAGGCCCCCTTCTCCTCTCCAAGCACGTCTGCTATGCCCACACCCAGTACTTAACATGGCCCAGCCCATGATAAGAGCTAAAACAGCTCTTTCCCTCTGGGAATGGGTCTTAGGGAACGCCATCTGAAGGAACCAGCTACACAAACCAAAGGTTTAGCTCAGCCATTATCTTTCACCAAAGGAGACCAGCCACAACTTTAGTGGGAACGTTCATGGGATGGAGGTGTGCCCACCAACAAAACACGAGGTCATTGTCAGGGAAGTTGTTTCCCAGGAATTTATAGCAATGTGGGAAAACCTTTACAAAAAGTGGAAAATATGGAAAATAAATAAAACTGTCCTCTAAACGCTGCCATGTGTAGCATGCTGATAAAGCCCCGAGAGAAGTGCAGTGAAGGAAAAGTGTCTGGGGAGCGTGACAGCCAGGGCGGATGTGTTTCTTTCAAGGCTGTGTCCACTCACTCAGAACAAGAGGCACATTTCTGTGTCCCAAGCATGTGCTACCCACTGAATGCTGTGCCGAGGGTCTTGAGGGCAGGGCCTCTCACATGGAGAAACTGAGGCTGAGCACTTAGCTAAGCCAGTCAGAACCACCATGTTTCTCCCTCCCTGGTCCAAATACCCTGATGCTCATGCTCACTCACCCATTGTCTCCACCAAATACATAGATGGCATCTTTATAGGCCACCACTGTGTGCTTGCTGCGCCTGGAAAAAAAAAGAATGGATGGGTGGCAGTGAGGCCGGGACCCTCCTGGGGGAGGAATGACACTAAGCACCCAGGCTGCTGCAGAAATGAGGTAACACCTCTCAGCTGCCAAGATCGAGAGAGATCCCGAAATTCCACAAGCACCCCAGGACCACCTGTATACGGGGACCCTGACACTGCCCTGGGACTCTCTGGACTCCGCACCCCACTGTAGAGCACCTGGGACCCCAGCTCCAGACCCACAAACACAACTTAACTCTAGTACCCTGCCCCAGGCCACCCCGCTCCCTGACTCCCTCAGAACCCCCTCCTCTGCCCTCGACATCACCCTGGACATCACCACTTCCTCCCCACCCCCCATGACCAGATCCCACTCTTGGACACCACGCCCCGACCTCGGCCCCTGGACCCCGCCCCGGGACCGCCTCAGACACCCCCCTTCCCCAAGAGCCCCTGAACTCCGCCGTACCGGGCCCCCACGAACTCGTCGCAGGGCGGGAGGCGCCGCCAACGATGCACTGTCTCGAAGGGCCCGAAGTTGAGTGTCAGGTACTCAACACTGTCCGAGCAGCTGTGGTCAAAGTCCACGCTCGGGGCTACCTTGGACCGCGCGCTGCCTGCCAGGGCGCCGGCCCCGATCGGGCCTCCCGAGCCCCCCGGCCCAGCCATCCCGGGTCCACGCCCGATGGGCCACTGGGTCCGCGGGACGTGCGGTCACCGCCCCGGGCCACCCCGGGGGACTACATTTCCCGGCGAGCCCTGTGCCTCCGCGCCACACTTCCGGCCTGCGCCGCACTTCCCGGCCAGCTTAGCGCTCCTCGTGACTCCGCGGGCCAGCGCAACCTCTGGGAAGCCGGGAGTGTGTGACTCTCTGGGAAGCGTTTCCCACCAAGTACGCGCACCAGATTCCCCCTTCCAGTGAAGGCGGCGTCCAGGCTTCAGCCTCGTCCGGACTGCACTTCCCCGGCGCCGGCCAGGCCCACGCCGCCCGGAGATGGGCCACACTTCCCGGCATGCCCTGGTTGCCCGGGGCTCGGCCTTGACCGTCCGCCGCTCTTCGGATCCCGGGTGGAGGGTTCCGGGCTTGCAGCGGCCTAGGAGGGAGCGCGACTATCCCCTTCCTGCCTGCGCCCCCACTTCTGCCCCCTGCGTGTCCCCCTCGGCATTCCTCTTGACTGGGAGGCAGAGTGGCACAGAGGCTCCTGATTCTCGTTCTTACTTACTAGCAGAGCCTCATTTTCTTTACCTGCGAAATGGGGATTCAGGGAGCTCTGGCTGCCGTGAAAAGCATGGGCTGTCTCAGGACCCAGCTCCTCCAGTCATAAGTAGGCACATGCCCCCAAACTGCCAAGCGCGAGCTGCCTCTGACCTCTGAAGCATCACTTGCCATCTCAAACCCTTGGCACGTGCTATCCCTTCTACCTGGAGTGCGCTTCTTTCAAAATCCAGATCCAAGACTCTGGTTAGAGAAGCTTTCCCTAACCCCAGGGCCAGAATCAGTTGCTACCTCCGCTGAGTGCTCATAGGCCAAACTGGTGTGGCACTGAGCATTGTGTGGTTGTGCTTTCTCCCTCATGAGTGAGTGTCTGTCCAATTACAATGGAAGTCACACAGATCTGCAAATGTGTGCGTTTTAATTTTAAGATAATATCTAATATGTTGCCGGGTCCTGCAGGGGACCAGTATCAAGAGAGGGAGAAGAGGATAGGCCTGTTCTGCCTCCATTGCCAGCCTTCAGTGGCAGCTGAGGCCTTGCGGAGGGGGTAAGCATCTCCTGGAGGTAGCAGAAGCCTCTCTGGAGGTGAACCAGGCAACCGAAGGCAAGCACTGGGAAGGCTCAGGTTCTGCCCTGGGGAATCCTGGGAAATGGAAGGTTGGCACCTGCCCCCAGAGCTTGGCCTCTTTCCCTGGTGCCCAAGCGTGCCTGCCCAAGTCTGCTGCATGCGAGCTCAGGATCCTTTCCCTGTGAGCCAGGACATGTCGCCGGTCCTGCAGGAATGAGGGGAGGAGGAGTCAGGGTAGAAGACAGCAGGTTACCCGCTCGGCACCATGAACAGGTGATCCCTGAGGACAGCAGGGGCCCCGCTCTGTGCCAGGTCCTGGTGCCCAGCAGGAATGGGTACTTGGGCAGAGAGGGGAAGTCCATGGGGTACAGGCTCTGGACTGAGATGGGAAAGGCTCAGAATGGTCAACAGGAAGGACAGAGGACCACGTACTTGCTGTGCAGCACAAACAGCCTTTTCGAAGGCGAGAGAGAGAGAGAAGGCCAGGGAGAGAGTATGTCATTTATCATGTTCCCGCTTGGTTCTCTATTGTTTCCAGCCTGAGGCCTACCCCTGTACCGTGGCCTCCAAGCTTTCCCCAGTCCCTGGGCAGGGGAGGGAGCCTCTCTGTAGGCAGTTCGAGCCCACAGGGTGACTCCCATTGGCACCATCCTGGGGTGAGGTGTCCCCCAGACACCAAACAACCACCCAACATCTCTGTGCAGGGTGTCCCCAGAGGCATAACTATCTGCCTTCTCCCCGCCCCCCAGCTTCTGCCAGTCCCAACACAACCAAATCCAGCTGGGTGTCCCAGACCAGGTGACTGCCCAAGCAGTGGCTTTGACCAAGGGTTTCGACCCCTCCCCATAGCACTGGCCCTGCCCTGGGACACAGCCTCTTTCCCTTCTTCTTTCTCCCCAAGAGCACAAATAACCAGCCCATTCGTAAACCACAACCCTTGTCCCACACCACCCCATAGTCCTGATGCCCCATAGACTGATGTGGACCAAGAATAGGGGGAGGGCTCTGTAGGGCTACAGGAGTGGATGGCTACCAAGGGCCAGTCCCTTGGGGGACCTCCCCCCCCCCACAACCAGACCTCTGAAGCCCACACTCACTCCACCTCCCGCTTTCGGATGGCACGGCCGGAGGCTAGCACCTCAGCTACCTTGGAGACAATAGGATCGTAATTCATGCTGGCCACAGCAATCACCTCATCGCCTCTGCAGGGACAGAGTAACTGAGCCTGAGGACTGCCCAGCAGTAACCTTCCTTCTTGGAGACCCTGACGCACTCCTCTTCAGCTGGGGCCCAGAGAGGGATCTTACCCAGGGCAACAGGAATATCCTGAGCACCCAGCGCTCCTTGCTTTGCTTGGCCCAACATGGGCTTGGGGATCCTGCCAGAGGCCATGGAGGCTCCAGCCTTCCTCCTCAGTGGAGTTCAGGGCTGAGCTCCCGTCCTGGGATCACCACTCTCTACCTGTGTGACCTCCCTCGGTGTAAAGTGGGAGTCAACAACACCCACCTGAAAGAGTGTCCTGAAGATAAAATGTCCTGCCTCAATGCGTGGCTGTTGGGCTTAATACTACCCCGCCTCCTCACTTGTCCTTGGAGGGTCTCCCGCCTAGCTGCCTCCCTTGGCCGCTCGGTCCACTTTTCAGGTATGTCCCCTCCCCTGGAGCAGAGCTCCTCTGGGATGAGCTCCCCTTCCCGACCGAGCTCCCGCTGCTTCGCGCCGCGTTCCACCCCGTTGCTCTCACTTGGTGTAAAAAGCCACGAACTTGAGCTCTTCCAGATCCCCCTGGATGATGACGTCGTCGAAGCCTTCTCCGTACCCTGTGGGCCGAACAGGAGAGGATGGGGCTCCGCCAGGTCAGCGCCCTGTGCCCTCCTAAATCCTCCCTGAACCCCCCGCCAGGCCCCGCTCCCTTTGTCCTTTTAGGTGGTCCTTAGTGCCGCCCCCAACCAGTTTTTGCTCTTCCTACTGCGGACGTGGCCACGTCCCTCTAGGATGCTCATAGCCCCGCCCTAGCCTCCAAGCTCCACCCCTGCACTCCGCTAACACCTTAGCCACACCCCTAAATGCTCTTGGCCCCGCCCCTGTCAGGCGCCCCTCCGTTACCCGCGTAGCGCAGGCTCTTGCCGAACATCGCTGTCCACAGGTAGGGCACGGTGTTGATCTCCGCTTCCTGCGCCAGCATGTTCTGGGCCGCCACCCGCCCTGTAGGACCCAGGGTGGTGAGAGCCCCGACCCTAGCCCTCCCCACCCCTATGCTGCCTGCCAGAGCTCTCTGGGGACCTCTGACATGTGGGGCTACTCCCCCTCCTTCTCCTCCCCAGAGGTCAAGTAATGCATCATTGCTCAGCCCACTGCCCACCCTCGATTGCAGCTGATCGGTGCAGAGGGGACACCTGGCTCAAAGCCAGTCACTCAGTCACTCAGATGGCTTCTCAGAGAATTTGGATGAAGTGCCCCAGATCTGGAAGGTCTGCTTCCTGGGGCTGTGGGGTTGTGGGGTTGCCCACCGTTTCAGGTGGGCACACAACTAATCAGACACATCAGGTATGAAGAGGAGGGCAGGAGAATGGGGCCCAAGTACCCGGGGAAGCAGGGATGACAGCCACACCTAGGGCCCCAGAGAATAGCATGCGTGGCTTCCCAGTTCATATGAGGCCCCCCTGGACCTGGTAGTTGGATGTCTGTGAGAGTCTCCTAGACCCTCCCAGTTAAACCTTAATTATACTTGGCCTTTGGTTCCTTAAAACCAGCAACAACTTTAGGCATTGGACCTGAACAGAAATTGGTCCAGGAATGGGATTTCTGGCAGCAGATGCTCAGATAATGTGAAGCCAGGGAGGAGAGGTCAGTGAGGGGAGTCTGCTGGTCCTCCCCATGAGGCAGCCAACTTGCTGGCATGTACATCTTAGGGACCCAGACCAGGTATGCACAGTAAGTGAGGCTTCAGGCCTTGGTGACCACCAAGTGTTTGGGGGGGAGGGCACTCAGTTCCCCACTAAGCCCAGTTTCCAGGCCCAGGTGGCTGCCTCCCAAGGGCCAGCATGAAGCAACTGGGTTCACAGAACCAGTCGAGTGGCCCAAAGGAGACAGAAACATTGAATGGGAAGGTGGCCCATATCCTACTAAATCCCTTTCTCTCCCTGGGTGACTGCACAGGTTAGTGAGGATAAAAGGGAAAGGAGAGGCTGGTGGAAGGATGGGGTGGGTGGGACACTGTGGCTAGCTGGAGGGGGTGTCCTGAGGGCACGGGGGCGGGGGGAATGTCTATGGATGGGCCACAGGGCTTGCTGTGTCAGCCAGCTGGTCAGACAGGCCACCACCGAACCTTGAAAGGCTACCCAGAGACCAGGACCCAAGGCCAACAACTGGGGGGTGGGCCTGGGGGAGGCTGTCCCAGGGTCTCAGCCTCCGGGCCCCCATCCTGCCAGGGGGCTGATCATACCCTGGGCATGAGCCATCTGCCAGTGTGGGATATTCACTTTCCGATTGTTCCTCCAGGCCAGGGGGAAAGTGACAGCATCACCAGCTGCAAACACGCCTGGGACGTTGGTCTGCATCATCTGTGGGGAGAGGCCCCAGGGCTCTGTGGGTGGGACAGGGGCCTTGGCCTGGACCTGCCACCACCCCCAGCCCAGCACCCTGCCCGCCCCGCCCAGCCCCACCTTGTTGACAGGGATGAAGCCTCGGGAATCCAGATTGATGCTGCTCTGCCTCAGGAAGCCCGTAGCGGGCACCGCACCTGACAGGACAGGGGCCACCATGTCCATTCCCTGGTCCCTCCCTTCTCCCGCTTCACTGTCCTCCATGACCCACACCCTTCCCTCGCCGTGGTCCAGCCCCAGACCTATCGTCCAATGGGCTGCCCGCCCTGCCGCCTTATGTGTCCTTGTCCCCTCTGCGTGGACCTCCCCCCCCGGCAGACTGCCATGCCTCCCACCCAGCCTCAGCTATCACCTCCTCTGAGAGACTCCACGAAGCCCCCCGGAAGGGGGGATTGGCATGCCAAACCTCCCCAGCTCCTATGCTGCCACCTCCCAGCTCTGTCCCTCCCCAGACTGGCACCTCAACTGGAGCAGGGCCCAGTTAGAGGCTTGTTTCTGTCCTGCAGCCCCCGTGGGGCAGGCCGTGGAGGTATCTGTGGGCAGTGGTCATTGGGAACGTCCTCCGTGCCAAGCCCTGACTACATGTGCGACACCCACTCCCCGGCAGCCCTGCAAAGTGGGAACTGTTGGGGGGGCCATTTTGTAGATGTGGAGACTGAGGCTCAGGGAGGGGAAGGGCCTGGCCCAAGGCCACTCTGGAGCATGTGCAGGTGCTCGCTGACACCCGCCTGCCCACCCACTCACCGATGCCCACAACGCAGACGTCAGCCCGCACAACCTTGCTGCTCTTCAGCACGACCTCCTTCAGCTGTGGGGAGGGGGCGTGGGTGAACAGGTCAGCCCAGCTCCTGGGAACAGGGGGGAGGGAGGGGGGAAGAAGGGCCCACCTTTCCCTCCTGGGCCCGCAGCTCGGACACCTCTGTCTGCATGTAGAACTTGACACGGTTGTTCTCAAACATCTGTCAGGGCAGGTGGGCAAGAAGGCCATGGAAGAGAGCATGGCCAGGGGCCTGGGCTGGGTGCCTGGGGTTCCAAGGGCCTGGGTGCCGGGGTGGGCTCACCTTCATGAGGGCACGACCGACACGTTCCCCCAAAAATCTCCTGAAGGGTGTCTCCTCCAGCTCCACCACGGACACTGAGTGGGCCTTTTCAGTCAGATAGGCGGCCACCTCCATCCCTGGAGCCAGGGTGGTGGATGGCAGGCTGGCACCCTGCACCTCCCAGGGCCACTAGTGCCCCGGGACCAGCCGTCACAGACCATCACCCCCACCAGCCCTGGCTGCTCACCCAGGAAGCCAGCTCCCACGACCACCGCGTTGCGGCCCCGGGCCAGCCTCACCACACGATTGGCATCTTCAGGGGTCCGGATGGTGAACACATTCTCCACCTCTTTGCCTTTGCAGCTCAGCGTCTTAGGGCTGAGTCGTGGCCAGCATCAGTGAGGGGCTCCCGGCACCCCAAGCCCTCCCATCCCGGCTGGTGCCCTGCCAAGCGTCCAGCAGGGGACAACGGGGAGACAGCCCCCCACCTGCTCCCTGGTGCGAGCAGCAGCTTGCTGTACTCCAGCTTGAAGCCGTCCTTGAACACGACCTTCTTGTTTCTCACGTCCACTGTGACCACCTGTAACCCCACCGGCCAGAGTGTGGGCCTGGGTGTGGACTTGAACCGGGCTGCCCCTCCCAGCTCCTGCCAGACCCTCTGAGCACAAGGTTCCACAGGGGCTGGTCCTGCCACCTGGGTGGTCCTTCCCCCTGGCTTCTCTTTACACTTCAGATACCACCTTCCCCTCAAAGCCATCTTTACGGCTCTCCCGTCCCAGCCCTGAGCAGATCTCTGCATGTGCCCGGGAAGAAGATCCAGTGCTGTCGTCCAGGCCTGGGGCGCCCCAGGGGTGCCTGGACAGCAGGGCCAAAAGGGCAGGAACCCCCCCCCCGCCAAACCTCCAGGGGCCCACATGGCCTCACATCACTTGTGGTTCCCACTAAGCCTTCCCAGGTTTATTTCCTAGCCTTGGCCCGGTACCTGGGCCTCGGTGAGCACCTCGATGCCATAGGCTCGGAAGAACTCCTTGGGCCTCAGGGCCAGCTGCTCAGGCTGGGCGTCCAGGGACTGCAGGAGATAGCTATCTTGAGATAAGGCCAGGTGGCCATTGTTCCATTTTGCAACAGAGGACCTGAGGCCTAGGGAGGGTAGGGCTGGGCCCCATCACAAAGGGGCTGCGGGATAGAAGTCAACAAGCCCGCATCTTTCTGGGGTACCACAGATAGGACGGGCACGAGCAGAGAGGGCAGCCGGCCGGACCCCCAAGGGGCAACAAGCAGGATGCTGAGAGGGCCTGACTGTGCCCAGGAGGCTAGGGGTCTGGGCCCTGCCTGGGCCCTATTTGCCCCTCCTCCCACCTTGCTGAGCTTAGGTCGGTCATAGGGGAGGTGCCGGTCCAGCGTGCACAAGACGATCCTGTCTGAGAACCCCTCCTGCCGCAGTGTCTCCGCACACACTAAGCCAGCCGCACCTGAGGGGAGGGTGCTGGGGGTCAGGGACCACCTCTCCCCCACCCCACCCTGCCCCTCATAACCCCACCACCAACCTGCGCCTACAATGAGCACGTTGGTGCTGCTGCTGTGGCCAGCACTCGGAGAGATACACTTGGCCATCACCTTGGTTCTTCGCTGTAGCTGCAAGGCCTGGGGGTGGCCGGAGAGCAGAAGGCAGCTGGGAGCTGGAGTCGTGGACATCCTCCCTATGCCATCATCCCAGCAGGCCAGGTCCTGCTGCTGCTGTCCAGCCCCATCCCCACCATGTAGCCTTTTACTCTGTTCCCCAGCCTCAGGGCCTTTGCACATGCTGATCCCTGGGCCAAGATGCTCTCCTCACTTCTCCCTTTTGCCTGAGCCCCAAGCCACACCCTCACCTGTTTGCTGGCCCGGACGTACACCTTCTCCTTCTCAATCTTCACCTGCAAGGGCTGTGTTGCTCAGGACCAGGTTTTGGGGTACTCCATCCCCCGCCCTGCACTCCCAGGCGCCCACCCCACTGCCCGCCTGGCCCCACCTGGAATTTGTGCAGACTGTCCAGGCCAGGGAAGTCCTCCAGGTCACCGGTGCTGATGTTGAAACAGGCACCATGCCAGGGGCAGCGCACCCGGCCACGGGACAGCACGCCTGGGGGAGGGCAGTGCTGGGCTGGGGCCACCAGCAACAGCCCCTCTCCCCTGTGTCCCAGCAGTTGCTGGCTCTTCCCCACAGCCCGGGAGACCCCACCGATAGATGAGACCTTGAGGGTCCAAGGAGGGCCCAAGCACCCTTCAGGGAGGTCCCACCCCACCTCCTGCGTGTCCTGGGACAGCTCACCTTTCACCAGGGGCGCGCCATAGTGCGGACACTTGTGGCCCAGAGCGTGGAACTCCCCGTTGTCCTTCACCAGCAACACCTTCCCCCAGCCCAGCTCCACTTCCCTCATCCTGGGGAGGGGCTGCACTCAGACCTCTGGTGGGCACCCTTTCCCAGAGTCCAGCTTTCTGGGGAGCAGGCCCAGACCGGAAGAGGCCACAGTGGTGGGGGCTGGTGCGGGCGCCGGTCAGGACCCCTTCCAGGCCTCCCAGCCCACCCCATCCAAGGCCTGCACCTTGCCTTCCCATCTCGGGCCCTCGGACGGCCCCCCGCCTCCCCCAGGCCCAGCACTCACTGGCCATTCTCTAGGTCCTTGACATGGCAGACGGCAGCCTCCACACAGTCCTGAGCGCTGGGATAGGGGTGAGGGGCGGGCAGGCGCTCGTCGGCATGGAAGTGGCGGGCTGTGCCGTTACCCTGGTAGGCTCGGGGGCTGCCCTTCCCACCGGCCAACAGCTCCTCCTTGCCCCGCTCCTTTTCGGGCAGCACCACCTCGATCTTGAGCTCCACTGTGGGCCGGCAGCGCATCACTGTGAGCCCCCCAGCCCGGTCCACTCCCTTCCCCACCCCACCAGCTCTGGCACTGGCCCTCTGAGTGAGTTCTCCTCCGTGCCTCCACCTTTCCAGAAAGCCCCCTGCACCATCAGCAGAGAGCCTTAAAACAGGGGAGAAGCAGAACAGAGGCAGCAGGAGGGTGACTACATCTCTGCATGTTTTCTTTTTCAGTAACAAATGAGTGGGGGGGGGGGCACTTCGACCCTGACATTGCCTTTTCTCCAAGAATCTATGTGGGGGAAAGAACCCTGGCGCCCTGAGCCCTGCTCGGACTCCAACAGCATGGTCCCTGATGGCAGGGACATCCATGAAGGAGCAGGGTACGCGTAGAGTCTGACTCAAGTGAGAACAGGGAGTCCAAACCTGGGTGCGGCTCATTTCCCGGCCAGTGAATCTGGGTGACGGCAAACAGACAGTCTGTTGTTCTGTTTGCAACTTTCCCATAGGTTTGAGGGGTTTTTTTTTATTATTAAAAAAAAATGTATACAATATATTTTCAACTTCTTAAAACAGCTATGCTCACCAATTTAAGAATCCATCATTTGCCAAGCCCTGGGTTTTCAATGTTTTCATGTGCAGGGGTCTGGGGCCTTGGCCATGAACCCCACCTGAAGGGGAAGGTGCAGAGGGGGCGCAGGGCCCACCTCTCGAAGCCTCCACACAGAAGACACTTCTCCAGAGTGCCCATGGGGCCCACTCTAGCAGGCAGTTAGCCAGAGACTGTCGTTTTTGTCTTTATATTTTTCTGCATTTTCTACATTCCCTACAATGTGCCTGGGGTGTTTTTCTAATTAGAAGGGAACAATAAACAGAATTTTTAGCAGCGATAATCCGGCCTCCTGGGCTGAGTGATGGACACTAAGCCCCTGGCACAGCATGGGCCCAGTGAGGAAGCAGGAGGTGCCTCTCCCAACTCCCAAGGCACCGGAGCCTCCAGGCCTCTCCCCATTTCACCTCTGATCCCCTCCACCCCAGACCTGACCCTCCAGAAACAGAGAACATGGAGTCATACCTCTGGGCCTCTGCCTATGCGGTTCCCTTGGCCTGCCATCCTTCCCAGCCCTGGCTCACTCCTGCCCATCCACCTGGACAGCTCAGGTGCTGCCTCCTCCAGCTGCCCATTCCCGGCATGTGCCTCATCTTGTGCCATGCTAATCTCCCACCCTGGCCTGGCCTGGAGCCTGGGAAGGCAGGCCCGCACCCCCTGATCCTCAAGTCCCAGCCCTTAGCCTCGCCCAGGCACGGCAGGGGGCAGGGGTGAAGGTCGGCTCCATGATTCCAGCTGGGCAGGAAGGGCCTCAGAGCCCACCACCATGCTGAAGCTGTTGCGTCAGGTTGGGAGGGGGTGTTGAGGGTGGGGTAGGTTCTTTGCCTTCATTTTCCGTACTTTATGTAATGGTGTTAGAATGTTTTGAGAAGAATTCAAAAGGAAAATACTCCCAACTCAGCTGACACCAGCTATGTGAACTGTAGAGAGGAAACTCACAGGAACAGCCTGGCAGGGGCCCAGTTAACAGCCAAGCCAGACTGTTTGCATCCTCCACCTCCTTCCAGAAGGCTCCAAGGAGCTCGCTGATGCAGTCTTAACAGGAAGCCATTAAGTCAGATGCAACAGTGGAAAGGTGGATGGAGAGGGGTTCTCTGCTGATCCACAGAGCCAGATGAACCCTAGCCCCATGATTCCCAGGAGCCCATGTCACCATGGGCCCCTGCCTTCTCCCCTTTGGACCTCAGATGCCTTCACTATAAAACAGAGAGAACAGTGCCTACCTCTTTGGTGATAGTGAATGCCGAAGGATTTAATATATGTAACTCAGAGTAGAAGCTCAACAGATGAAGCTGGGTAGTAGCATTTTATTGGTTAGCTCTGAGCCTCCTGGCAGCCATGGCAAAAAGGGAAGGCCTTTAAGTGGCACCTGTGGCCTAATCAAAGGCAAGCGACTAGATGCCAAGAGAGCTGCCAGGGTCTGGCCCGGAACGCTTCTTACCACAAACACAGAGCCAGTGGAACATGGGGAGTGAGCTCAGGAATGTGTGCTGATGTGCTCCAAGCCAGAGTCAAGCAAGATAGAAGGTAAAGAGTTCACACAAAGAGCTTTGGCTTGCTCTGGTCTCCCTGTAGCCCCTCTTGACCCCAGCTGAACTTTTATGGCGCAAATGTTCCCACTCACACACCCTGAAATTCCCTGAACCTCACCCTTGACCTGCCCAGTGTGGGTGCCTGGGGCCTAAGCTCCTGCCTTCCTGTCATAGCCCTACAGGGGAGTCCTGAAAGCAGGGAGCCTACCTCCCAAAAGAGGGGATAATAATGTTCTGCCCATGCCTCCTTCCTGTGTGCCAGGCCCTGTACTAAGCACAACAATGCGCATGGGACTGGGGTGGGGGGCAAAATTGTTAGCCCCACTTATACATGAAAACACAGAGGCTCAGAGAGGTGAAGTCAGCCGCCCGAGGCCACACAGCCAGAAGGGGGCAGGGCTGGATTTGGGCTCAAGAACGCAAGTTCTTACCACTGCCTCTGGGGCGGTGAGAGCTGCCAACTCCTGACCTGAGAGCTGGGGGCCAAGGGTCTCAGGCAGGCCAGCCTGTTGAGGTCCCTTAAAGGAAGCTGCAGGTGGTATCCTCTGCTCTTGGCCTCCCCAGACGAGCTAGCATTTTCCTGCCCACTTCTGGTGCGGGGGAAGGCTGAGGTCAAGACAATGGCCATCACTTGCCCAAGTCATACGTGGAGCCAGGAAGGGTGGCGGGATCGGGCCCAGGGCTGGGTACCCACACCATGGGCCTGGGGGGAGGGACAGCTGGCCCCCGAGGCAGGTGCGGGGCGTTCCCTCTGCCTGGCAGGGCATTAAAGGTCTCCTCTTGCCCCCAAGTTCTCCCTCAGACCCAGGAAAAGGAGAAAAGGCTCATGTGTTCCAAGGTAATGGAGCTGATGGGTATCAGGTATAAGGGGAGCTGGCCGGGGCAGGGTGGCCCGGGTGGCAGGTGGGCGGGGCACTGACTGGGCACTAGAGAGGCCTCTCTGGGCCTCCATTTCTTCATCTGTGACATGCCTCCATTCTTTTGCCTTCCTGAGGGTTGCGAAGAGAGAAGAGGGAAAATAGGGGCTGGAGAGAGAGCCCAACAGACAGAAGTCTCCATGGAGAGCAGACCCAGGCCTCCCTCAGCACCCGGGAGGCCCCCACCTGCGGCTGGAGCCGCTTGGGCCAGGCAGGGCAGGATTTCCTGCACAAATGGGGAAACTCGGCCCAAAGGTCACACAGGGCATCAGAAGAGGTGAAGAGGGCTGTGATCTGTCCACTCCACCCTCATGGCAGCTTCGAGAGGCCAGGCTCATTTTGTAGAGAGGGAAGGGAACTGAGGCTCAGAGGGGTAACTGGCATGCCCTGGGTCACCCAGTGGCTGAGGGTGTTCCCAGAGTCCCCCTTCCCCAGCCCTAAGGGGAAGGCCCCCCTCCGCCCTATCCTGGAGCCGGAAGAACCCTAACTTCTACTTTCTGAGAAAGGTTCAGCTACTATTCCCACCAGAAGCACCCAAAGCCCCCAGTAAAGAGGGGGACCCATTGGAGGGGGGCCAAGAGAATGCTCCAGGCCCCCCACCCCCTCCTGCCTGCAGGGAATTAACATTCAGAGCAGGCTGCCGCCCAGCCTGACCTACTTCAGAGGCAGAGGGGGGAGGGGGAGGAGGAAGGTGGCTGGAGGAGGGAGGGAGGGGGGAGGGAGGGAGGGAGGGAGGGAGGAGAGAATGAGGCAAGGAGGGGGAGGTACCTGGCTTGGGCTTGGAGAAGCACCCACCCATGGCGAGTGACCCACAGATGAATGGGGGGCAGATACACAGATGGTAGGCTGTGGGAGGCCTAGGGTGCCCCCGGCAGTGGGGCTGGACGCCCCAGGGCCCTTAGAGATTCTGGAGCTGCCATCCCGGCTGGAGCTGCCACCAGGACCTGCAGGAGAGACAAGGGGCGTCTGTAGGGACCAGGGCTTTGATGGGGGTTGTGGGGAGAGATACAGAGAGATAGAGACAGACTGGGTGGGGGTGGGGGTGGGGCTTCCGGAAGATGCACACATTTGAGCTGGGAGCCACTGCATGTAGGGGACCCTGGGAGGCACCTCCCTTTTGAGGCCCTCCAGGCTCCCTACCCTCACTCTCCCCTCCCATTTTTACCTGTGGGCTGTGCCTACTGCCTAGGGGGCCCTCTGCTCCGGACCTCAGCCTCTCTTTTAGGTCCAGCCCCACAGCTGCCTTGTGGGGTAAATCCTGATTTCTGCAGCCCACTGGAAAGCCAGCAGCCTGGGAGCTCTGGGACCCTCCATTCTTCAGGGAGGCCACCATGCCTGGGATCCAAACCCAGGTCCCCTCAGGCAGATCAGAGCCCTCCTGATCCTGGGGTTTCTCCTTCCTACAATGGGGGTGACATTTAGTTCTCCTGGGCTCTGGCCCCCACTCTGGCTGGCAGCCCCTGGATACGCACCTCCTCCAGGGGCAACCACTGCTTCTTCCTCCCAGACCAGCAGTGGATGGAGGCTTCCCAGCCCTGGAAGGCCGGGCAGAGGGGGCAGGGGTCCAAGAGGCCGCTCAGCCTCCACCCCTCCTCCCAGTGTGAGTGGGGCCAGGAGAGGCTAGGGGGTGGGGTGGGGTGGGGCTGGGCCAGTCCGCTGGTCCCCAGGGAAACCCAGCTCCATGGTGAACAGGAGTGGGCGGCCAGCCCAGGCCTGATGAAGTTGGGGGAAAGGGAGGCCAGGCACACAGCCCATGCCCAACAGCCATGAGCTCCCACCCTGTACACAGCGCCCCACTTCACAAATGCCCTCCAGGCCTGTGGTGCTGAGATCACATCCAACAGCAGATGGAGAAACTGAGAGGCCAAGGGCTTGCCAAGGTCAAGCAGCAGGAAGGGTGCTTCCTACCTTCCAGGTGACCTCCTACCTCCCTCCCCCCTTGGTTAGTTTCAAGATGGGCAGGGACCCAGGAAGCCCCCATATCACCCTGCAAGCCACAGAGCTGGGGGAGAGGTCACCAGATCAGCAAAGAGATCCCTGCAGCCAAAGAGTCCTCAAGGCCACAGGGTGTGGGCCTTCCGGAAGATAAAGCTTACAGACTCAACTTTGGAAGGCCTGGGACAAAGGTGTGGCTGGCCTGTTTACATATGACCTCCCCCCAGATCCCACTGTCATCCCCCCTGTGTCCCCTGGAGGTTCTCCCTGAAGTCTAACTTGAGGTGGGGCTGAGGCCTACTTGGTCTTGCCCAGATCCCAGCAAGGGCTTTGAGTGGGTGCCTGAGCGCAAGGGGGCCAAGAAGACAGGAGGAAAAGTTGGGGAGGGCCATCTACCGCCTGGCATCTGATCTTAACTGTGCTAGAGGCACCCATTACAGTTCAGGAGGCAGTGACAGCCAAAGGCCAACTGGGCATACCGATACTCCTTCCCCACTCATCACCAAGGCAGATCTGTAAGACTTGGCCACCCCTGCCCTGCCTGGCCCCTACCTGGGCACAAGGGGGCCCTCCCCAGATCCCGGCTTCTCCTCCGGCTCAGCCCTGCCCACCTCCTTCCTGCCTGGCCTCAGGCTTCACCTGCTGGGCCACAGATGTCTGAAAATGTGGGACCCCCACTTGCTGTCCAGTCCCTGTCTGGGCGGTTTCTCCCTTCCCAGGTGCCCAGGGGTCCTAGACCCTCCAGGGCCTTGGACCTGGAAAGAGATTTGCTGGAGATTGAACCTTCTCCAGGCCTACTGTGTGCAGGCGGTCTTGGAGCCCTGTTGCCTCAAAGGCAAAGATTCTTGACTGTGGACCAGCTGGAGGCGCCCCCAAGATTTTGTAGAGTGCTGTCCCTCGCCCACAAGCGACCCAGTGCTGAAAAGTTGTAACAGTGCCCAAGTGCTATCGACCCACCAGGAACCTGTGTCGTGATTCATGGGGACAACGTCTCCCCAGGCCAGTGCAGCCTGGGCAGAAACGGGGGGGGGGGGGTGCTGTCCAGTTGGGGCCCTCAGAGGCTTCCAGCCTTCCTCGGAATGGCAATCAAGTTTGAGGGGTGTCCGCCCTCACCTGCTCCCCCGCGGGGCTCAGGCGCAAGCCTCCCGCGCACCCTCCCTGCCTTTGCACGTGCAGTCCCCTCTATCTGGGAAGACCTTTCCAGCGGCCTTCCCGCTCGTCCAGGTGTCCTCACCAAACCGGGCGGCCCCGGAAGGGGGACCGGCACACAGTAGGGCGCCAGGGCGAGCGGGGAAGGGCCCGGGCCGAGGAGGGGAGAAGGAAGAGAGGCGCTTCGGCCCCCAGCTTGTCTCTCTCCCCCTCCGGCTGCCTACCCCAGCCCCCATCGCGCTGGCCCCGGGTCCGAGACCTGCGAGCGCGCCCGCTGGCCCGGGGCACGGAGGCAGCGGGGCCGGGAACCGGCAGCCGAGGGGGGTGGCGGGGTCAGGGGCCGGGGGTCCTGGGGGCTGGGGTCCCCGGGGCGGGCGCTCACCTGGGCTCGGCGCGGGCCTCCGCTCTGGAGCCGCTCGGGGCCGCGGCCGCGGGGGGGGGGGGGGGGGGGGGGGGGCGGGGGGGGGGGGGGCCGGCGCTGCGGCGACACTGCAGCCGGAGAGCCCGCGGCGCCCAGCACCGCCCCGCCGGGTCCCTGCTGGTAGATGGGGGTCGGTCCCGGGTCAGGGGCCGGGCCGGTGGCCTCGGAGTCCGCATGCGGGTCGCGGGGTGTGGGGGAGGCATTCGGGGGCCCTTCTAGTCGTGGACGCCCCCAGCGGGGTCTGGGTTCCCGGGGATCCTCTGGACCCTAGAGGTGCGCCAAGCTGGGCTGCGCACCGGGTCTGATTCTTGTTCCTGTTCTTTCTTTCCGAAGTCTTCGAATCCTGGGCGGCGGAGTGACGTGGGGGGTGGGAATTGAATCATCCGGAGTAACCTCTCCAAGAAGGAAAACCCGAATCACTGGCTACTGCCCCATAGGTACCTTGACTCCTTTTGGGGTGTCAGTCTCCTCCGTCTCCTAGCTCCGTCTCCTAGCTCCCTCCCCTCTCCCCACACTTCATAAGGTCTATCTTAAATTATATTTTATTACATGTTCTTTTTCCCACCTGTCATTATAACAGAACTTCCTGGGTCCCTCTAAATCATGATGCACGCTGGTGTTGTGTCCCCTTTTCCAGGAAGCCCTCCCTGACCAGTCTTCCTGGACTGAGAGTTGATCAGGCCCCAATACCCTGTCTCCTGGTTACCTCGAGTTTCACTGTCCTGATTGTCCTGATCTTTGCATTGTGTTCAGGTAGAGCTTGTACCTGCAGCAAACCGGGATCCAGTGAGTAGGTGGAAAATGAATGAAAGACACTTTCCAGGGAAGCGATGTCACATCTATCATCAAACACATCAGAGCCCACCAACTCTGTCCTATTAGTGCTCCTTTGGCAGCTCCTGTTGGCTTCTCTTTTTTACCACTTCTCCCCTTTCTGGGCCTAACTCTCCTGTAAAGATGACAAAAAAGACAGCAGTGAGAGTCACCTGCACCAGGGAGATCCGGCCTTCAGAGGAAGTCCTTTATGACCCACCCTTCCCAGGGGGGCAAACACAACTCCCCCTCATTTTACAGATGCAGAAGTTCAGAAGGCAGAGTCTCACCCAGGGGCAGGATCGGGGGCCTGCATGGGTCACACTTACGCGGGTGGATGTGGGGCTCAGACCTTGGAGGGGACGTGTGGTTCTGCTCAGGCCATCCCTCTGTGGCCACATGTGTGGTTTCCACAGTGTGACTGTTGCCACTGCTACAGGAGAGGCCTCATCACTGGACAGATGGTGTATTGGGTCTGGTGCCCTTGGCCTCCAAAACCCAGCCCCCATTCCACACACTTGCTGACCTTGCAACTCCAGCCCCCTTAGCCAGGAAGACAGTGCCATGGATTTATTCCTTTTCTTTACAACAGCCTGAGGAGGACGTTTCTCTGTGTATCATCTCCATTTTACAGTTGGGGAAACTGAGGTTTAGAGAGGTTAGGGACTCCCCCAGGCTACCAGCTGGTGAGTGGCAGAGCAGAGACTTGAATCCTGGCAGGCTGGCTAGGCTGTGCTTGGCTTACAAGTGGAGGGGTAGCAGTGGGAGGGGAGAGGCCTGCCAGGCTTGGCCAAGCCCCATAGTCTCCAGTGCAGAGTTCGAGTCCTGCTCAGGGACCCATTTGTGTCAGTGAACCCCTGTGCCCCAGGTTCCCCAGAAAATGTGGGGGTAACTGCAGTGGCCTCCTGATGAGGTTGCCAGGTCACCATGCAGAACCACAGGAAATAGAAGGTGCTCAGGATGTGGGGTGGGGGCTGCTGAGTGTGGGGTGCCAGAGATGAGATTGGGAAACAGGTCAATGTGGGGGCTGTGCAAAAGCCTTCAGCTCAGGTCATGATCCCAGGGTCTTGGGATTGAGTCCCGCATGGGGCTCCTTGTTCAGCAGGGAGCCTGCTACTCCCCGTGCTTGTGATCTCTCTCTCTCTCAAACAAATACATAAAAATTTGTTTTTAAAGTTAAAAAAAAGATTTTAAAAATTAAAAAAAGGAGTGCTGCCTCATAGAGGGCCCTCAGATTTGGGGGTGGTGTGTCTGGGGTGTTTGGGCAGTCTGAGGTCCCGATCTTGCCCCAAGGATGATTCTGACAAGGCAATAACATCTGGTCTGGAGAATACCCACCGAGATGATAGTCTTAAAGAGGGAAACTGAGCCCCAGGTTGAGATGTAGTGAGGTGACCTGGGATGGCTGAGAGACCCCTAGACCCAACAGACACTCCAAAGGCATGGAAAGGAGTTGCCAAGGTTTGAGAAGCAGGTGTGTGTGTGTGTGTGTGTGTGTGTGTGTGTGTGTGTGTCTGTGTTTGTGTGTGTCTGTATGAGAGAGAGAGATCGATCCCTGCCCAAGACAGTCTCTGTTCTCCTTTCATCTACCCCCTCCTGTCAGTTTCCCCTGTTCCCCATTCCACCTCAGCCTAGGGCCTAGAAGCCCGGGCGTGCAGGATGATCCTTTGGAACGTGACACAGCGACCACGCTTAACATTGGGATTGACACTGGCGCCCCCTGGAGGCCATTCTGAGGGCCAGCAGGACCTCTGGGAGTTTTGGGATTCTGAGGGCAGCCACTGAGACAGTAGAGCCCTCTTCCCTGCCAGACTTGAGTGGATTTTCAGATCCAGAGACCTCAGTTTAACTGATTCCCAGGAAATATTGGGGGGCTGATACAGCACAGCCAATGCCAGAGCTGAGGCAGCCTGTGCCCACAGCTTCACAGTGATTCGGTCATATGGAAGCAGAAGTTGGGGGATCCCCAGGTTGGGGAGCCTGGACCAAACTCCGCACCCCAACCTCATTCCTGACTTGCTCTGGCTACTGCAACCCATCCTCCCCCCAGCCCGGTTTGGTCTACACAAACCGTGTCCAAACACCATGTCCTCAGCTCCTTCTGGGTTCTCTGACTCTGGGGAGGCCAGCTTCAGCTCCTACTGACCTCTTCAGCCCCTACCTTGCTGCTAAATTGCTGTCAGCACTGAACTGTTCCCAGGCTGTGGGGTAACCAGTCCTAATTCCAGTCCTCACGGAGGGAGGGAAAGTTCAGAAGGGCTTTCCTAGGAGGTGGCAAGGACTGAAGAGAGACAGGCCCTTAGAAGTTCACCAGGGAGAAGAAGGGCATCCTTCTGTCCTGTGTGGCAAGTGCTGAGTTCTGGGCAGGGGCATAGATGGCATGGAGGTATGTTACTGGCCCAAAGAGGAGTTGGGTGAGAGATTTTCATCACAGGTGTCTTTAGTAAAAAACCATACCAGCAACTAGGACTGTCATTGGACTGGAATGAGGCAGAGGGACTAGGAGGTCAGAAGACACCTGGAGTGAAGACTGGACCAGAGTAAGCTTGAGGGCTGGAAGGTGGGCCATGTCCCTGCCGCCCTTAGACTTGTGGGTTTTCTATCACCAGAAGATTGGCAACAACCTCCACACCCTCAAAGACAAATGTGCTAGTTTAAGCTCCCTCAGCCACATGAAGGAATATTGTTCAGCCATAAAAGGTGTCTACAGAGCGTTTGTAAAAATGTTATATTTTTCTTATACATCGCGCTGGCGAAAGTGTAAATTAAGGTAATTCCTACAGAGGGCAATTTGGCAACACTTTTCAAAATTGCAAATGCCCAGAGCCTTTGATCCAGCGGTTCCACTTGGAGCAGCTCATTTTTAATGCATCTGACCACCTGACTAGCGGCTTGTTGAATGAGTGGCAGTTCATCCATAGCATGGAGTACTATACAGCAGTGAAAAAGAACAAAGCCTCCATATGTGGATTCACAAAAATCTTTAAAACAGAATGGGGAAATAAAGCGAGGTGCAGAACAGTAAGTAATCTATGCTACCTTTGTGTAGAGAAAACATTTAGAAAGGATATTTACAGAGGTATTTCGGTATGCTTGTATGTTACAGAATAACTGTGGAAATATATATAATATATAATAAACTGGAAACAGGGAGATGCTGGAGAGTGGACTGGACAGTGGAAGGATACGTTTCATCTGATGCCCGTCTTTTGAAGGCTGCATCCTATGGATGTTTTTTCTCCAACCCTGATGCCAAAGTGGAATTCCCCAAACTCCTGGAGCTGTTCTGGGGAGCTCAGGTGGGCTGCAAACCACCATTCCCGAAGGGCTGGCACTGGGGCTTGGGTTCCTTTCCTCTGCTCACTGGGTCTGGTGCAGCCCCGGCCCAGGTCTCCCCTCCTCTTGGTGCCCGTCCTCGCCGCAGTTAGTGGACAGACCACTCCCTCCCTCCCTCCTTCCAGGACTTGGCTGTTCGGCAGCTCCTGGCGCCCACTCAGAGAGCCTTCGCCCTTCCCGGAGCCACTTCCTCAGACCCTTAGCCTGCACGGCAGGTTCCGCAGGGCTCTCTCGGGCGGTTGGGTGTGGGCTGTCCTTCCAGCGCCCCGCCTCGGCCACGCCCCCAACCCGCCCTCTCCGCCAGTGCCCGCCCCCATCTCAGCGGGGGCGGGTCTGAGACGCTCCCGCCCCTCCCCTCCCGAGCCGCCAGCGCACAGGTTACTTAGGGCCCAGAGCCCAGGAGCCCTGGGAGCCGTCCGGAAACGGGCAGCGCTGACGGCCACCGGGCCTCACGCCCATCTCCCCGCTCCAGCTCGCCACCCTACCCGACCCTCGCCCCCGGCGCCAGGAAACCCCGGCCAGCGCCCTGACCCCGGAGCCCGCGATCTCGGCAGCCGCTGGGGCCTCGCAGAGCGGGACTCACCCGACTCACCCGGCTCACCCGGGAGCCAAGCGCTCTGGACAACGTCCGGCAAGGGGCAAACCGTTTCTGGGACCTGAGGGAGTGGGAGGAGCCTCCAGGGGCTCCAGGGCTCTACGTCCTCCTTCACTCCGCGCAGGGTCCTCCCTCTCTCCATCCCTCCCCGCGTGATTGCCCGCCTGCCCCGGGGACCGACGGCAGCGGCTTGGCGTGGGCAGTGGTGGGGCCGGATGTAAGGGGTCTTGAGGGCGCGGCGGTAGTGGTCCCCAGAACCG